ATTCCATTGTTGATACCCATCTCTTACTCAAGTTGTTATGATAGCATCTTAAGAGATCCTTTTATTCTGCTGTTGACCTTCCCTATGGTCTCCAGCAGGATACGGAAATTCATTACGCTTGAAAAAGCATTGATAGCAAGGAGAGAGTTTCAGAGAGAGAGGTAGTGACAACTCTGAAACTGCATGAGTACAAAGGTGCTTTGTAAGTTTATGAAATAAAGCAAGTGTGTACTATAATATCGTGAGGATCTATTTCTATTCTTCATCATGCCTTAGACATGGGATCATAGCATAATATCCCTGGAACTTGGAGGTGTGTGTGTGATGTAGCCTGGATGTGGTGGATTCATTGACTGGCTATGGATGTTAACCATTTACATCTCACATGGGCACTCTATCCTTTACTTAGTCTGCCTTTCTGTTGCTATATCTGAATGCCACAAACTGGGTAATTTACAAAGAATAAAGGTTTGTCTTGACTGTGGTTTAGAGGCTGGAAAATCTTAAGTGTGTGGTACTGATATCTGCTCAGCATGTGAGAGAGCCTCCTTGATGGGTCTTGGCACATTGGAGGACATCATGTGGTGAGACAGAGTAGAGGTGTTACCTGGATTTTAACTTCTCCTTTTAAAGCCATTAATGCCATCATGGAGATTCTACCCCTCGTGACCTCATCTAATCCTAATTATCTCCCATAGGCCTCACCTCCAAATACCATTAACATGTGACTTTGGAGGGTTTAAGCCTCCGGTACATGAAATTTGCGGGACACATTTAAACTGAAGCCCTCTTCCTCCACCTAAACAGTGTAGTAGTTGAACTTGAGGGCAGAAGAGGTCTTATCAGTTATAACTCAAGCTTTTTTCTGTGGACCAGGGATTAAACCCAGGGACCCTTAACCACTGAGCCATATCTCCAGCCCTTTTTATTTCATTTTATTTTTATTTTGAGACAGGGTATTGCTAAGTTGCTTAGGGCCTTATTAAGTTGCTGAGGCTGTGTTTGAATTTGTGATCCTCTTGCCCCAGTCTCCCAAGCTGCTGGGATTACAGGTGTATGCCACTGTACCCAGCTCATGCTTTTTATCAACTATATAGCAAAAGCAGGGAGCCTACCTAAAATTTACATTTGGAAAAAAGTTTTGAAGTGAGAATACTATTAGGCCTATAACTACAGAAAGAGAAGTATCAGTGCTATTCCTTCACAGAGAGAAAATTAGGTGTTTTTAAACTCAATATTTAGCATTTCAAGTTTCTGTTACCTTCTTCATTATCAAAGCTATATGTGTAATAACAAAGAAGAAATGGCTCAGGATGATCTTGCTGAACCCACCAGAGTGCATCCAGTAGAAAGGGCTGCATCGGAATGACAATCAAGGCCAGGATTTCACCTAGCTTGTGATTGGATAATTATACACCGTGTTCTGTGAATACCAATATCAGATCACTTTTTAGTGGTATGTGTTTGCCAAATGATTTGATTTGATTTCTGCCTTTCTAAACTCCTCTGAAACAGGTCAAAAAACAGGGCCCTTGCTAGAATGAAAGTGTAAATGAGTCGTATATAAGCTGGCTACCACATGGCTTTTAAAAGATGGATTCTTTTGCTGGCAGAAGTGAATTTCCTTTGGAAGTGAATTTCACCTTCTAGCATGAAATGGGATAAAATGACAGACTACTTGGAAAGGCCTAAATTTGTATTAATCTTTCAGGGGCTACCAACACAGAGCATTGTATATGTTCATTGTAAAGGGTATAATGGTTCAGCCCTTCCATTTTTTTCCCTAAAGAGTTGTTTAAACATTTATGTTCACTTGATCATACATTGATTTTTGTTTTCTTAGTTTAAAATATCCTAATGTCGCCAGGTAGTAGTGGTGCATGCCTGTAACCCCAATGGTTTGGTTTGGAAGGTTGAGGCAGGAGGCTTGCAAGTTCAAAGCCAGCCTCAGCAACTTGGTGAGGTGCTAAGCAATTTAGCAAGACCCTGTCTCAAAATAAAAAATAAGAAGGGCTGGGGATGTGGCTCAGTGGTCGAGCTCCCGTGGGTTCAATCCCCAGTACCCAGTAAATAAATTAAATTTCCTAATGTAATTATAAACACTTGTTGGAGTTCACTAGTTTTATGAAAAAATTCTTTATTCCTTTTATAGTAACTAGGATAATTACTATGGTTTGAGAATTTTAAAAACCTAGTAATCAGTATGCACATGTTGCTATATAATGTCAATGCAGTGAGAGCCTTGCACCTGGGATTGTAATGCACAAATAAATGCACAAAATTTACTGTTTCTGTTACAATAATTTCTATGCTAGCAAGGGAAAATTTGGAAATGGTTCAAAGGTAAGATGAGTATTTTATGAAGTTGCACTCTTCAATATCTTTATTAGCAATTCAATACTCATTTTTAAATGCAAAATTTCCCCTAGGTATTTCTGAAATGTTGAGATTTTTAGAAGGTTTGAAATTACTTTGTTCCAGTAATCCCTCTGACTAAAAAGTGTTAATGGAAGTTAAGTATGCTGCTAGATGCTTCTCTAAAGCAACCAGAGAGTTCATTCATTACTTGTGCAATTTCTGTGCTATGTAGAGTTACTTTCTCATGTACATCCCTTAAATAATGGTAGAGATTACCATTTTGTGGGTAGTTTTATAGTAGTTTCTTTAGTTCAGTTGATCCTGTTAGGCTTGAAACTAGTAAGAATACCCTCAGATGAACTGAAATATAAAATCAAGGTCAGAAATAGGAGGTGAGAGTCTCTTCCTTTCCTGTTTCCCACCCTGTTCACTTTCTCTTGGGAACAAGTGGGAACAGATGTAGATGTGTAGAAGTGAAGTGCTGCTTATGTTAGATGGTAAAGGATTATAACTACATTTTGAATAAAATCTTGTTGAGGGAACTGGATATTTTTGGACCTTGATCATTTATTTGCCATTTTGCTGAAATCTGCTAGATAAATTTAGGTATTAAAATGTATGTATTTTTTAACTAGAGCGGATCATTTAGTTGACCTTCATTTTTAATATTTGAAAAGTGAAAAAGTTAAGACTAAAGAGAGTGGGCAGAGATGGAAGACTTTGATCTGGCAGTATTGTTTTTGGAATCTACAAATATAACAGTGCTGATAGATCTTTTCATTCAAAGGAAGAATCATTTTGGATGTTGTCCTCAAATCTAGATAAGTGAATTGTTTAAATCATCAGAGGGAGGAAGAACCATATTTTATTTTTTTAACTTGCTCTAAGCCATAGTACAAATATTTCCTCTTCTGGAAATAACTGTTTAGATTATAGGAATATTTGCCAAATATTTTTCAGTTTCCTAAAAATTGTAATTCTATATTTAATTTTTTTTAGTTTATGTCTCTGCTTATTATTGCTTACCATTAACAGCTCTAATAATTATAATCTCAATGCTATAAACAGTAAGGTACCTAAGGACTGGAACTATTCCCAAGATCATAAAGATGTAACCCTGCTTTGTGCTATGAATTGAGCATTCAATAAAATTGTATTTTAAGTGGTATCCAGCTCTCTTATTTAGAGTGGTGTACCTACTGTGCAGCTCTTAAGACCTCAGGGCCACAAAGGGCCCTGGAGTCAGAACAGAGACTGAAATGCTTCATCCTTGTTCATGGGGAGGAGAATGGGAATGTCAGGCAGTGAGAGGGTTAGATCCTGTGCAGTGAGGAAAGCAGGAGCCATTGTGAGAGTTCTACAGCTTCTAGAACCCAGGACCTGCACACAAAAGGTTTGACCTGGAAGAGGTATAGGGAGTTCACCCTGTCCAGTGCTTTTCCAACTGTGGGACTAGCTCCTGGGTTTGGGCCTCAAGGGTCCATGGGGAGGGGAGAAGAAAGTCAAAGCAGTGAGACTTCTGATCCACACCCAACATCACCAGCATGTTTCTGCTTCCTAAAATATCTTTTTTATATTTGATAAACATATTTTACTGCTAAATTTAAAAGTTAGAAGACCACTATGTTGATCACTGTTAAATTAAACCATTAAATGATAGTAGAAACCTCTTATAACAGGAAACCAAGGAAGAAGGATCTTCTGAGAAAGCATAAGATATAGCTCAAGTGGTAGAGCGCTTGCCTCACATTCACAAGGCCCTGGGTTCAATCCCTAGAAACACACACACACACACACACACACACACACATGCACACATGCACATTGCTACAGTAGATCTCAACATTTTTGGCTCCTATATACAGTGCCCTATTGGCTCCTAATCCAACCAGATTAAGGACTAAATGACCTGAACTACTAATACAAGATAGGTGAAACTCTTCCTACCAAGTCTAGTACATACTGTTTTGTAGAGATTAGGTTACATGGAGCTTTGAGGGTTTTAGTCATCTGCACAAGTCTTGAATCACATGCAAGGAATGGATGGTCCTTTGAAAGATGAAAAATCAAACCAGACTTTACACTGTCTGTTTTTTTTTAATTTTTTTGAGTATAGTAAGTTGAAGATGTGGAATTGAAGCCAAAATATTGAATTGAACAATTAAAATTAAAGTAGTTATATTTATTACTGGACAACTTGTTTTATTTGATAGACCTACTGCTAGGGAAGTATATCTTTTCTTTGATGTGGTAGACATTTTTAACATTAGAATGGCTCACATTATTTTGTTAAACCATCTTCAAGCTTTTTATTTCATGATTAATGTTGAGAAATACTATTTTTTTAAAAAAATATGTATGATTTCTGAATTGATTAACATGCTTCATAATCTAGAATCCTGATTGAGCTGAATTTGCTTGGTAGTTCTTAATCTGTTTTCATTAACTTAGCTGTTGTGAGAAAAAGCCCCATGGGAAGAACAAAATTAGTTTAGTAATTTTGCTCATTCATCCATGAGTATATAACATGACTGTTTTCGTTTCTGTTGTTTCAGTAGATATGAATCAAAAACAAATAACATTGTCTGAGTAAGTCTGTCTCTTGTCACTCTGAAATCTGTTGTCTATCTGTTTTCTTCTAGGTGAGGAATTTTAAATTGGAACAGGAGCAAGAAAAAAACAAAATTTTGTCAGAAGCACTGGAAACTCTAGCCACTGAACATCATGAATTAGAGCAGTCTCTGGTGGAAGGGTCTCCGCCTCTCAGCATCCTTAGTGAGGACGAGTTCTATGATGCACTGTCAGGTAACTGGAATCCTTCCATCTCTGTTGGGGGTGATTTATAGTCCACCATCTAAATGTCGTGTTAGCATGTTGTTACCTGGAGTTTCCCAGAATAAACACATGGATATATATTAGTATAGTTCTCCAAACTGCAATTTTTTGTGTGTGTCATGTAAGTAAGGAAGGCTTGGTATAAAATTTATTACTGAGTCTGCCTAGTATATGCTATACTAGGATTGGAGTGCTATTAAAATGGGACATATTTGACTTATTCCTTTGTTCAGTGACCATTTATTTAATACCTCCTGCTGCCAGGTGCTATCACATGTTCTAAGAAAGATGGACAGTTTCAAAGAGGTCGAAGAGTGAAGGATACAGATGAGTAACACTTGGTTACAGTTCAGTATGCTTAGTGCTGAAGTAGAGGTGAGTCCTTGATATAGCTGGAGCAGGCAAAAGGAAATGCTTCACTTTGACTCGGAAACACATGCATAGCCTGCCTGCAGTGAGTATGGACTTCAAGTCCTCTAGCGCTGACCAGCTTTGTCACCTGGGGCAAGCTTCATGACCTCTCTGGTTCTGAATTTCTATACACTTAAAATGGAGCAATTGTAGTATCTATTTTAGTACTTTAAGGATTAAATGAGTTCATATGTGTAAATAGTGCTTAGAATAGTGCCTGGTAGTACTGGCACTAAAAACTTAGAGCTATAGGTGGAGAGAGGAAGACAACCTAGAAGAGGAAGTACCAAGGAAATTTAAACTTGTGGGAATTGATTTTAGAAGTTCTGAGACATATGTGGGTGGGGAGAAGAAGCAAATATAGAGGGAAATAGTTGGAGATCAGTGAAATAGAGAAAAATTATTTTATAGGAGGAAATTAAATTCTTGTATAACAAGTGAATATACATAAATATGGGTTTCATAAAACTTGTCCGTGAAATCAGAAAACCTTTGTGTATGTGAAGTGAAGGATCAAATTCATAATAGGAAATGAAAGAGAGGAACCATGGTGAGAGAGAGAGTGGAAATAAGAACTAAAGAAGATTAGGCTCAGGAAGGTAAAGAAGGGTATGAGAATATAGGACAAGGAAAGGGGGTTGGTACTGTGTAGACTTAATAGAGGAGAGATCATTATATAAAACAGAAGCAAATGGCAGCACCATTCGCAGAGGTATGCCAGAATTAAAATAAGAAGAAAACATAATGTTAATAGCCAAATTTCGTAATAGAGAAAGATGATGGTGGTGGTGGTGCTGTCAGTTAAATATGAAACAGTGACTCCTACTAGGAAGGCAAAGAAAGATTGACAAAGTAGGTCTACATGACTGGGAGGCTGGAAGATAGCCGACACTGAAGACTGCTGAAATTTATTATACATAACACTGTGTCCCATCTGTTGGTGTTATGTCATGTACTCCTTATGTAAGGGCCCCCAAAAGGAAGTCATTCAGAAGTTTATGGGATTAAATGCATTGAGGTCTGAATATAAAAGATCTCAGGTTCTTCCACTGCTTATCTTTGTTATTCTTAAAAACAACTTAATGTTATTTTATTTAAAAACCCCCATGTTTAAGGTACTTTTCTAGTATGCACGAGATCCTGGGCCCCATCCCCGGTACCACAAACAAAACAAAGCATATTATTTTTTATAAATAATTAATTATAATAATACCAAGCCCAGTGACATTCTCCCTAACTGATCACACACTCTGCATCAGAAGTTCTTGTTAATATCCTGATATGTTCTCTTCTAGACCTTTGCTAAGCATTCACTTGTGTATGTATATATATATATATATATATATATATATATATATATATATATATATATATATATTTGTGTACATAAGCCTTTTTTTTTTTAAAGATGTACGTGGAAGTAGCTGTTTAATTGCTCTGGATCAGCTTTTTCAACTTGTTTTAGAAGTCTTTCCCATCTTTATTATAGCTCTAGCATGTTCTTTTAAAGGCTTTGTAAGGCCATACCTCTTTGTAAAGGCTTCAGTGTCATTGTACCACAGTTTCCTTAACCATTCTTTTTTGATAGACATTTTGTAGCTACTGTTACTTTTCTTCTTCATAGTAATATTTTAACGTTTTTCTCCACAATTATCTCCTCTGGGAGGAAGAGATAAAAAGAACTGCAGTCTTTAAGTCAGGACTCACAAGTCATTTCCATATCAAGAGCCAATTCACATTGTTTAGTGCCATTTGCTACTTCATGGATTGCTGTGTTGAGAAAGCTTCTGATGTGGAGTCCAAGTGCCTAGACTAATCTGCACATTCTACCACAGCCATAGGAAATGTCCTAAGGTCCCCTGAATGACCACCTGTGTTTTGTTTTATTTGTCTAAACTTATGTGGCCTTCCTTGTTTACCACTAAAAATATTGGGAATCATTTGGGATATTATAGAAAGTGAATTAAACTGAAGGGTTAGATGCCTTCAGTTAAAATTCTTTACCTACTGTTGACCTAGCCACATAATTCATTGAGATCATAATGCCATCATTTGGGAATGGCTTTGTCTTCTCACCACAGTATTTAGACATTGACCTCTGTTCCCACTTCCTCCTTCATTTCTATTAAAGAAGAAGAAATGTTACCCTGTAACTAAGGTCATTCCTTCCTCATTCCTTCTGATACTACTTCCTTGTGCCTTCCCAAACAGACTTGTTCAGTTATTGCTTCATTTACTTAGACTTTCCATATCATATAACTTTAACTACTATCTGGTATGGTTTGAATTGGGAATGTCTCCCAAAAGCTCATGTGTTGAAGGCTGGTCCCCAATTCAGCAATGTCCAGAGGTGGGACTTTTGGGAGATGATTGGATCATGAGGGCTCTGACCTCATCAGTGGATTAATCTACTGAAGTACTAATAATTTATGGCATTATTGGTAGAACCTGTAAGAGGTGGGGCCTAGTTAGAGGAAGTAGGTACTTGGGCACATACCCTAGAAGAGTATATCTTATCCTTGGCCCCCTCCTCTCTCTGCTTCCATGCTTTCATGAGCTGAGCAGGTTCCTCCCCCATGCCTTTCCACCATGATGTTCTGTTCCTTCTCCTTCCCTTTTAGTAGCACCCTTGTGGTAACTTTGAGTTCAAACAAATAATCCAGGATAATCTTCCCCATCTTAAGATTTCATTTAATCAAATCTGCAAAGTCCTTTTTACCATGTAAGATAACATACTCACAATTTCTGGAATAAGGGCCTGGATATCTTTGAGATAACCATTATCTTGACTACCACAACCCTGATCTCTTGGTAGATACCTATACTGAGCTGTCAGCTTCATATATGAAAGATGAATTCTTAATCTTCCTCTCAGATCCTGTTTTTTCTGGGATTGGCCTCATTTAAGTGATTCCTCTTTCATTTCCTGCAGGCAGAAACTGGGGGTCGATTCATGACATTTGTGTGCCGATTCAGGAAAATACAGTCCAAGGCCTGTCCATTCTACCTTACTATCATCCCTTGAATTTATCTTTGTTCTGTTAATCTAGGGCAATGGTTAAAGTCTAGGTCTTGGGGCTGGAGGCAGTTGGTGAATCATAGTTCTACCCATTCTTATACCCTTTGAAAAGTTGATTCAATTTTCTATGCATCATTTTTCATCATCAAATGTGTCATAGGATTATTATAAGTAATAAATATTTGTAGTGTACTTAAAATAGTGCTTAGTACACTCAGGGGTTGACATATGTGAGCTCTCTTTGTTACCTGAGGTATGGCTAGTTTTTTTTTTTAATTTCTTTAATTTTTTTATTTATATATGACAGTGGGATGCATTACAATTCATATTACATATATAGAGGACAATTTTTCATATCTCTGGCTGTATACAAAGTATATTCACACCAATTCGTGTCTTCATACATGTACTTTGGATAATAATGATCATCACATTCCACCATCATTAATAACTCTATGCCCCCTCCCTTCCTCTCCCACCCCTCTGCCCTATCTAGAGCTTATCTATTCCTCCCATTCTCCCCCTCCCTACACCACTATGAATCAGCCTCCTTATATCAGAGAAAACATTTGGCATTTTGCTTTTGGGGATTGGCTAACTTCACTTAGCATGAACTGATCTTGGCTTCCAGCTTTGCCCCATTGAACTTCATTCTGTACAGTCATCCACAACTACCCTTTTGTAGATGATACATTGTCGCTTTCCCCACCTACAGTCTTTCTCATGGCACCATGAATAAGATCCAGCCACCCCAGCAGGCTGCCTACAAGGCTCTTACCATGATCCAAACCCTGCCTGTCTGTTCATATCCATCTGTCCTCTTATTCCCCCACTCACACAGTCCACCCTAGTCTTTAGCTAGGCCTCAAAAGCAGCCATGGCACTAGTCAATTGGATATATAGCTAAATGAGAGCAAGCAAAAGTAATCAAAGCTATATCTCATTGGAAAGTTAATTTTAATTCCTGTAATCACAATAATGGATTAAATCAAGCCTGTCCTCATTGAGAATATATGAAAAAGTACTTAAAGATACTTCTCTTAAAATATTTGAAACTTGGGGGCTGGGGCTCAGTGGTAGAGTGGCTGCCTTGCATGTGTGAGGAACTGGGTTCAATCCCCAGTATCACATAAAAATAAATAAAGATATGGTTTCCATCTACAACTAAAAAAATTCTTAAAATCTTTTCACTAAATGTTCAATCTTCTTTTAAAAAGTTGCCAACTTGTGTCACTTTCTTTAAAAGGATAATTTTATTTACCTAGATTGAAAGTCCATGTGATTTCCTGTTTTATTTTATCATGTTCCTTTAAGCTTTTTTCAGACAAGCAGGATCAATGGAAATCTACTAATATGGTGGGTAAGACAGACCTTGATGCCAAGCCAACAGTGTAATATAATGATTTTCCAGCCCTTTGGGATCTCTTGAGAAAATCATTTTTTCACTGTGCTCAGTGACTAAAGATTTCATAAAATTCCATGAAGCAAACAGATTGCTTTCTCACAATTTGCATTTCATTGTGTAAAACATTTAAAAGGA